TCGCCTTGGACCCTGACAAGGTGGGCTGGGAGGACAGGGGAGGAGGCTTCCAGGACAGGGACAAAGGGCTGTGGGTGGGGTGACCAAGGGTATTGGGCTGGATGATGGAATGGAGGTGGGGATGGGGTACCCGGGCCACAGAGCCTGGCCCCTGAGCCCCACCTGACCGCTCTGTCGCCTTGCAGCCCACCAACTTCACCAACCCCGTGTACGCCACACTCTATATGGGTGGTCATGGCAGCCGCCACTCCCTGGCCAGCACGGATGAGAAGCGAGAACTCCTGGGCCGGGGCCCTGAGGACGAGATAGGGGACCCCTTGGCATAGGGTCCTGCACCATCGGACTTCTGCAGAGAGCCTCCTGCCCCTTGCCAGAGAAGTCCTTCAAGGAGCCCCCATCCTGCCCAGCCAACCCCTCCCCAGCTCTGCTGGGATGTATAAATGTAAAAATGAAGGAATTACTTTTTATATGTGAGTGAGCAAGCGAGCAAGCGGGCACAGTATTATCTCTTTCCGTTCTCCTTCCTGCCTGCTCCTCAGCACCCCGCCCAATGCTGCCTTCCGGGAGGGGGCGCAGGAAGCGGGCCCCTACCACTTACCGGTATAAGGGGGCCCTGCCTCCCCACCTTCCCACCAAAAACGCAGCCCCACTGGGAGAGCTGGTGGTGCTGCCTCCCCCTCCCTGTACAAGACACTTCGTCAAGGCTCTCCCCTCTCATCCCCCCAACCCCTCCCAGCTCCCTGAGGGCTGATTCTGGGATTCTGGGGCGGGTGAGTCCTTTGCTGCCCTTGTCTGGAAGATTTGGCTCTGGCTGAAGTAGGAAGGAAAGGATGGAGTTTTTTAGTTCTTCTTGGGGGAGGCCATCCCATGCCCCAGCCCCTACTCTAGGGGCACCTCTGAGATGGCCACACTCAGTATCCCTACCAGACAGGCCCTCCCCCTCTCCAGTGCCCCCACTGTGGCTTCCAGGGCTGGAGACTTTCTTTGGTAAACACTCCCCCAGGCTCCCCTCCCCTGGGGATGAGGAGGAAGTGGGGCACACCAAGGAAGGGCAAGCGGGCAGCCCTGTTTTGGGGATATGAACGTTTTAATAATTTTTGCTGAATTCCTTTACAACTAAATAACACAGATATTGTTATAAATAAAACTGTAAAAAAAAGAAAAAAGAAAAAAAAGCCGTTTGTGTCTACCTGAGTGTGAGACTCTGGGAGCTGGCCTGTGCTTTCATGCTCCAGCCACCAGAGGGAGCCATGCTCTGTGCTGGAGGGAGGCTTGAGCATCCGGTCTTCAGTGCCCTTCTGGAGCTCCATCCCCCTTCATTGGGCTGTGGCAGGGAAGTGGGTGGCACTGGACTTGACCAGAAAGACCCGCTTCTCCTGGCTGTGTGAACTTGAACCAGTGACTTCACCTCTCTGGATCATGTGTTCTGTCTGGCTCTAGGACACTAACTCCAAGATCTGTTTCTCTGTATTGTCACTTTTATGGGACAACACTGCCACCCCTACCCAAAATTATCTCCCTCAGTGAGAAATCCCACAATAAGAAATGAACACACTGGGGTTGTGAACGGCTTTCTAATCCTTCAGGGTGGTCCCATACAGCTCTCTCTAAGTTTGCTCTTGAAGCACTGACATCTCACACTTCGTGGAGAGTAATTAATCAGATGCCAAGAGTCAGAACCCTGGATTCAGGAGGAGGGCCCCTGAAGCTAAAGCTGGGAAGACCAGTTTTCCAGGCCCCACGGTCCACCAACAGACACATCTCACATCCCAGGGGTTGACAGGAGAGGACTGCTACAACCAAAGGGGGTACCACGTCTACTTCAGCCCCTGGCCAGAGAAGGGAACCTCTTGCAGAAGGCCACACCGCTTTACATGGTCCAAGATTGAGAAAGGGTTAGAGCTCCGCTCTCCCCACGGTAGCAAATATGCTCAGAGATGGCAGCTTTAAACGTCTGAAGGACCTTTGCCAAGCCCAAGGGGGGAGCACTGCCTTTCATTCCCCCTGCCTCCCTGGTTTAACCTTCTCAGTCTATTCCTCCTTTCCTGAGGAAGCTATGGGTCCAAGCACCTCTAGAAACAGGAGCCCTCCCCTTCCTTCTTAGGCCTGAGATGCCATCTCCAGCCTCAGCTTCCAAGCCAGTTCTGCTATCCTCCACTGCCTCCCGGGCTCCCTAGGGCCCCAGGGCAGAGCGACCCTGCTGGAGAAAGGGGGCGTCCTTGTTGATCGCTTAGAGGGAGGCTTGTGTCCTCATCCGTCCACCAGGTGGCGTACGCACTCCTGCAGCGCAGCTCATCCTCAAGCCCAGCACAGCCCCCTCCCCAGTACACTAATTATGCACCTCCAGGCGGACCCCAGCCCAGCCTCTCACTTCCTTCCCTTGGGCTATTCTGCCACACCCCCTCTACCCTCCTCTAGCCGGCTCCTCTCCCTCCCCCAGCGCCTGCCTACTACCCACCACCACCAGCCCCACCCCCTCACTCCCTCCTGCCAGCCGCGCATCTGGCGCCCCCGGGGAGCCATTGATTCTCTGCCTGTCGCCTCAAGATCCTGGGCAGAACGAGAGGGGCCCCCAGCTGCGGCTTGGAACACACACCCCTCCAGTCAGCATCCTCCCTCTGCCCGCCAGGATGGCCAGGAGAGGGTCTACCAGGAGGCAGTCCTCAAAAACTCCTCACCTGCCAAGGATGGCAGAGAGACCTAAGACAGAGATGGAGAAGAGACAGGGGCAGAACCAGAGGCGGAGGCTGATACAGACGGATAGAGAGACAGAGACACAGAGATGGAGACAGGGAGTGGGGTGTGTGTGTGTGTGTGTGTGTGTGTGTGTGTGTGTGTGTGTAGCTGGAGACAGAAAGCAGTGACCTGAGACTAGGAAAAGGAGGAGAGATGGGGTGGGTAGGACTCCAGAAAACCAGGACTCTAGTGAAGAGCTTCTGTCCTGGGTGCCCTGAGCCTGAGTGTGCCTACTTCCCCCACTGCCCACTACCATTTCAGCAGCCCCTGTGCTTGGCCAGGCTCAGGATTCTGGATGGAGCCTCTTGGCCTTGGGCCTTCTACCCCTTCCCGCCTCCCTCTCTGCCCCGCCTGCACCCAGGTTCCTGGCTCCTGGCTTCTGTCTGTCTGTCTGGGTGTCTCTGTGTCCGCCTCATCTTCTCAGCATTCCTAATCCTTGTTTTGTGTCTGTCACATTCCTATATCTGTCTTTGTGTGTTCCTGGGCTTGTCTTTCGGACTGCCAGTGCCGGCGTACACCTGAGTGCATGTCCATCTACATATGTGGATGTTTGCCTCTCTGCCAAGGCAAGGAAGGTGGGGTCGGTCGTCGGCTCTGAGTACCTGGCTGGGTATGCTTGTCTCTTGGTGAAAGTGTGCATTTGTCTCTCTGTGTGCTTCTGTGTGTGTGTAAACCGAGTGTGTCTATCTGTGTGGATCAGTGCCTCGAAGTGTGTACCTATCTGTGTGTGTGTGCTGCTCTCTGTGTGAATGTTTCTCTCTGCCTGTATGTTCACCTCTACAGTGTGGCCTGCCCCTGTGATGTACCTGCATGCATGCCTGGGGGCATGTGCTGGTGTCTCCGGGTATGTGTCTGTCTCTCTGTCTTTGCTTGTCCCTATCTCTCGCTGTCAAGGTGTCGGTCATACCACAATCTCAGCCACAACCTCAGTGCATAGCAACAGCTGACAGGTGAAGACTCCTTGGGCAGGAGAGAGAGACAGAGACTAGTGGGAGGAGGGAGGGATGAAGAAACAGCCAAGAGGATAGGGACAGAGACAGGGCCAGGCTGGAGACAGAGACAAGGACAGAGACAGAGGCGGAAGGGGAGAAGGATCTAGAGGAGCTGATGGTGAAAGATGGGACACGGAGAAAAGGGATGGAGGCTGCACCAAGAGGCCGGACAGGCGGCGCGGCTCCTGCCCAACCCCCCATGCGGGGATGCTCTGGGACGTGTGGAGGGGTCGGCGGTGGGGGGCGAGGGGCAAAGGTGAACGGCGGATCTAGCGGAGGGGTCTTGAGACCGCAGAGGTGCCTTGAAGGCGGGGGCTGGGGGGCGCGGCGGGCGTCGTTTGTCAGCCCTATTGAAAGACGTGATGGGGTTTCCTTCCGTGATCAATGATTCTCATCTCCGGGCCGAATGAGCCGCGGGGCGCCCATCCATCCCCGTCAGAGCCGCGCAGCGGCAGGCTCCCGGGGCCCAGCCCGCCCTCACCTCTGCCCCTGCCCTGCTTCTGCCCTGGGACCCTCCAGGGGCCCGTAGCTCCGAAGGACCCTGGTCTTGCTGGGCCGCTGAGCCTCCCCAGGCCCCTGCTCCACCGTGCCCCGCTTCAGGAACAAGGTTCCGGAGCCTCGAGCCCCACTCCCGGCCCTATTCCTCAGCGGTGCACAGACCCAGCCTCTCGGGTACAGGGTGCCCGAACCCCTCAGCCCTCTCCCCTTCGCACCTGGGCCGGGGGCGTGTCTGGGGCGTGTCGGGGTGAAAGTCACCTTCGGTGCCCCCAGCTGGGCGGGAGGGGGCGCGCGGGGCGCGGCCGGGATTGGAGCTCCGCGGAGCCCCGCCCCCCAGCCCGCCCGAGTCAGACCCAACTTTCTCCCCCGCCCGCGCCCCGCCCCCAGCGCCGCTCTCCGCTCCTCTCGCCGCTCAGTCCGCGGGCCGCGCCGCCCGCTCCCGCCGCTTCGGCAG